GACATTCTTTTTTTTTACAAGGGTAGGAAGTTTGAATTGATATTTTCAGACATAAATTATTTTTTGACTTCTTTAATATTCTTTTTTTTTCATTTTTAGTGTAAAATCGGATAAAATAAAAAGAAAAAAAGTATGAATGGAAAAGGATTAAAAAGCTAAAAAATAAATTATATTTTTTAGCTATATTGTAATTTAGTTTTATATGTATAAAAAACATATTTGGGACATTTATGATAAATTTTACAATAAAATAAATAAAAATAAATAAATTTGACCATTAAAATACTAAATTCAAATTAGTCTATCATTATAAATAGTCAAAAGAAAAAAAATATGTGAGAAAGAATATACCCCTGTATGAATCATTTTTTTTTATCCACGAGAATAATTTGTAATTTACATCTTTAAAGCATACTATCACCAACTTAGACTTTCATCATGTAACATTTGACAACTTGCTCACGAATCTTTCACAATCTTATAAGCGTGGGTCATGACAATATTCTCTTTTGTGACTTGCAACCCAACTCACCCATTTGATTAGGCCCTATCCTCATTGTTTATTATGCGCAAACACTAGCAAGATAAATTTCAAGAGGAAAAGCACAGCTACATTAAAGCAAAGGCGGACCTAGTATTTTCTTTCAGGGGTGTCAATGAATGTAGTAAAAAAATAGCGAAGATGAATTTGAAGAGGAAAAGCACAGCTACATTTACTGATTAAAGAAGCAGTATATGAACTAGGCAATGATGCAGCAGGTAAGTATTAAGTTCAAAATGTTTGCTGGAAACAAAAAACTCTTTGTACAAAAAAGCATGAACACTGTGCAAGAAAGCCCTCTGCTGTCAAATCTTAATCATACAAGTAAACAATATCTCCTCTCCAGTTTCCGTGGAATGTAAACACATCTAAGAGGAGTCTGCTCCAGTATACCATCTCGACAAGTTTCATGCCATTGTTTCATCCAAGAATCTGAAACATAGGAAACGGTAAATTAAAAAGTCATTTTTGGCAACATTTCCTCCGATCCTTGGGAAATGGAGAAGCAACTCGTTGCAAACAACCACGAAAAAGAGATTTTAGTGAAAGCAAGAACTATTAAGATATACAGGTATTGCTAAGGACATGTTTAGAGCCTATGAGGCACTCTTTTATATAAGATTCAAGACATAGCAGTTTTTTTCTTAAATTATAAATGTTTCAATGAATTATCCTTTGCTATGAAGCAAAAGTAACAACAAGTGTGCATATATATATGTATAGATTTATCTTTACTGTCTAAAGTATAAAAATCAAACCAGTATAAGATTATGCCTTACTAAGAAACTTATATGAATTTACATAGGATTGCTCTTAGAGAGTTTTCAATTTACAAACAACAATACAAAAAAAAAGAAAAAAAGATAAAGGTAAATAGGATGCTGTATAAACAGCATTTTGCAATCTTTTATTTACAAAAACTGACTTACCTTGAATTTTCTAGCTTTGTGCAACCAGAGTCTCCAAAATGAAATCAGTCTTGCATCTAAGAATCGTGTGTCAGCCGGGATATACATTTTGTACCTGAGCTGATATTGAGTTTACGCTTCTTTTGTATAGAAAAGAAGAAAAAATAGATTTCAAGTGAACATCCAAAAGGGAAAGTCTAGAACGCTACATAAGTCTGCAGCAAGCAGTTAAAGTATCATAAAAAAAGGACATGGTACTTGTTGGTTGGTTGAACTACTCATTCATTATTTACCAAAAATACTTGTTAGTCTTTTATTTTCATTAACTCATAGAAAAAGGTTATATTTCATTAAAAGAATAGTTTCGCTTGGGCAAATAAGCAGCTGTGTACTAAATAGTTGTTGGTATCCCCGTAATGAAGAGTAAAATGTTGAGAGATTATGTAGTCTTTACCAAATGCTCGTGAAAGAGTCTACGGCTGAAGATTCTGTTCATCAACAAAACAACGTGCTGGTTCCTCCGTCGAACATAACCAACCCTGTTAAACAATAAAATTGTGTCATGAGAAAAAAAAAGAGTGCAAAAAAAAAGACTTGAAAACTTGTTATAGCATTCTAAATGAAAATTCACCTAACGTAATTGCCGCCCATGGATTTTGACTTGAAATGCCACAACGACGTTCTAGAAAAACCTTGGAACTAATAATCAATGAGAAAAAGATATATAAATATTCATGATTAAACCATATCTTGAAAGTAATATAGATATTCATAAATTTGTTTCAAGTGGAACAGAAAAATGTTTGGAGAATGGAGAAGAGTGACTCGTGGAAAATAATAATTAAAAATGCGACTCGGAAATTGAAAGAGAAACAGAGACTTACGCAAGTCCTGAATTATGCTTCCCCCAACTTCAATTTTTTCAATATGCGAAATGTTGGACCACTGGGAGTTTGGGCCACTCCGATTGGTGCAACTTTCTTCTAACTGTGGGCAGCCTTTAATTTCCAGCTTCCATAATTTGGTGAGGCGCCGCATGGCATCTCTGGATGGCAGATGCTCTAGTTTCTCACAGTTTTCTAAACTTAACTGTTGCAACGAAACAATGTTGCCAAGCCCATCCGACAGAGCTTCTAACAATGGACATTCATCTACACACAGATATTGTAATTTGGGCATGACATATGAGAAGTCCAGGTTCTGTAGCCGTTTGCACCTCACTAGCGTTAATGTTTCAAGAGAAGTAAGGTTGCCAAATCTATGAGGAAGAGCCTCGATTCCAAATCCATGTATTTGGATCTCTGTTAAGTCAGAGAGTTGCATAAACTGATAGGGCAGAGAATCCCAGTGACCATGTCCATACACCCTCAATTTACGAAGGGACAACAGCTGCTGAATGTCATTAAAAATCAATTGGAATGCATCAAAATCCACCATCTCTGAGAAAGGACCAATATCCAATATCCTTAACCGGGTGAGACGGTGAAGGCCCCCTGAGGGTACACTAATCAATTTGGGACAGTCTGATATATCCAAACTGGAAAGTGAAGGCATTTCCCCCACATGTAAAGGGAATGAAACTAAATTGTCACAGCAGCTGACCATCAAAGATTCCAGAGACCGACAATGCTCTAGCATTCCACTTGGTAATCTGCTCAATCCATCACAATCCCATAACTGAAGACATTGGAGGGAAGTCAAATAATTCTCTCCACTGGGAACAGAAAAAGAACTGAAATTGGTGCAGTGCACAATCCTTAAGCTCCTAAGAGAATGGAGATCGTACAAGCTCGGTGGCAATTCACGAAACTCACTGCAGCCTGAGACAGAAAGGTGTTGAAGAGAAACGTTATTGCGTAGCATCTCATCAGGAAGACAAGTGAGCTCTTTCACAGAATGGACAGTGAATTTTATGAGAGATGTCAAGTTGCTGCACAAGTTCAACAGTGGCATTTCACTGTCAACTAGGACAATCTCTAATTCACGTAGGATTTCAAATTGATTCGGAGTACTTTTTAACAATGGACAGAAACTAATGCTCAACTTCTCAAGCCCAGGAAACATTCTTACCCCACTTGTTGTTGGTATCAATTCCACTCCCTTCCACTCAGTAAGGCTACGCAAATCGTGCAATACAAGTTCTTTTAAGGATGGGAACACTTGGATATTGACATTATTGCTGCTTGATCCCTTGTTGTTAACCCCAATACCATAAAATGTAGTTCCAATGCATTCCACATCATGGAACCCTGTCAATGCAAGACTCCGAAGGAATTTCAGTTGGCCAAGAGATGGAATTTCTTTGCACATTTTGCAACCAATTAAATTCAACTTGACCAAATTTGGTAGCGATTCTTCACCGAACCATGAAGGAAATCTAGTACCCAAATAGTTCTTCACTTGAAATATTTTCAATTCAGGATGCGGTTGAAGGCCATCCAACACATGCTCATCATTGATCTCACATCCTTCTGATTCGTCATGGGACCATAGATATACCAGCTTGTAAATATTCAATTTCTCCCGTAGATATGCCGTTCGAGCTTCTTCTCTATTACGAACCAATTGGAGACCATTGATCTTTAATTCACCTCTAAGGTTCTTCAAACCACCTAATTCTTCTATTCGACAACCTTTCTCTAAACCCACATTGAAATACTGTAGGGTCTGAAGACAAGTCAACTGTCCCATGTTAAGTGGCATCTGAGACGGAGAGTAATATATGTGTCTCAAACTTATCATATTTCCCATCTCATATGGAAGTTCCTTGAGTGAATAGCAGTTATTGACTCTAAATGTTTGCAAATTATAGAGCTCGCAAATGGAGTCGGGCAAGGTTGTGATCTTAGTGTTCGAGAGATCGAGATATCTCAAGTATATTAGCTTCCCGATTTTGGCCGACAACTCCTTGATTCCTGAACAGTATAAATTTAAAACTCTCAAGAACTTAAAGCTCAACAACATGTCTTCCCATATATAATTGCTTCTCCAAAACAGTGTGCACAAATGTCCTGGCTCATTTATCTCATCTATTTGATCACTTGGTGAGTCCCATCCAAAGTATCGCACTTGAGAAAGATTTTCTCCTCCATCGCCCCTCGGATCAAATAGTTTAGATTTTAAGATATCTCCAGCCAAATCATGGACAAGATCGTGCATCTTACAGCGTGTTATATTGTTGTGCTTATCTAGCTTAACATCTTGCAGCAAGGAATTTCGCAACAAGATTTGAAAAAACCTGTGCCCAACGTCTTCCATCACGGTGGTCTCTTGACATGGACGGAGAAATCCTTCTGCCATCCAGAGTTGGATTAGTTGGTCCTTTTCAAACTCAAAATCTTTTGGAAACATTGCAAAGTAAGCAAAGCATTTTTTTAGATGTGGAGATGGTAGATAATCATAGCTGAGTTTTAGGATTTTTTTTATGCTATTTTCTCTGTTATCATCTTCACCCGCAACAATGGGGTTGCCATCAAGAATTGCTTGCCATTCATGTTTTTCCTTGTTGTTGTGTAAGAGGCCTCCCAACACACTTGCAGCCAATGGTAGACCTTGACACATTTTAACAATCTTGTTGGCCATGCTCGCTAATTCTTCTGGAACCCTGCCATCAACAAATGCTTTTTGTTTGAAAATAGACCAACAATGATCTTCTGTTAACTTTCCCAAGATATGAAGATCTGTTGCTACTGTGGATGCCACCCGCTTCATACGAGTAGTCACAAGAATGCAGTTTCCTCTGGATGTATTTATTCCTCTCAAGGTGTCAACGAACTCATGCCACGATGTAGAGTCAACACACCACAAATCATCCAGGACTAGCAAATAGTTTTTTCCTCCCAATTCATCTTGTAACTTCTTGACTATTATATCTCTCCTTTGAACCTCAATTTTCCTCTCTGTCAACGATTCGAGGATTTGTTCAAGAAAGCTCTTTGTTTCAGACATTTCAGGTAGACACAGCCAAATTCTCTTTTCAAAGATTAGCTTGATGTGTTCATCATTGTAAATCCTCTTAGCCACAGTTGTTTTCCCTAAACCCCCCATACCCACTATGGGAATGGTGGACAGAACAACATCCTCCTCTCTCATCTTCAAAATCTTCTCCTTTATCTCAACAATATCCAAATCTCTACCAACAACATCTGAAGCAACTACTAAGGAATCTGTTTCTCGAATCGGTAGTATTTTCCGAGAAGGAACTATGAGTGAGTGGAGACCAAGGTCCTTGGCTACCTTGTTAATAGCGGTCAACTCTTTATTAATACTGTTGATTTTTCGAGACATTTTGCTCTTAAAAGCAGTATGAGTAAAGAAACCACTGACCTTTTTTATTGGGCTGTTTCGGATGTTCATCACTTTTGTTTTGAGAGATTCATATCTGAATCGATCAAACACATTTTCAGCATCTTCAGCAACTCTCTCAAGCCTGTGGAGCCATTGTTCAACAGACTGTTGTTTCTCAACTTGTGGTGTTTCAACATCATGAATGAAAGCTTGGATTAAGGATACATTTTGTGTCAACATTTCGAGATCTTTGTTGAAATCCCTTGAGCTGTTGAGCTCCTCAATAGTGAGAGAAATCAACTTTTCAAGTAAAACTTGAACAGTAGCACCAATTACAGGATCAGCCATAGTTGTGTTTGCTTCTTCATAAAATCTTCTTTCTCTTCACCAAAGTCTTCTCAAAGTAAGTCTTCTTTTGGTAGTTGTTTGCAGAGCACTAAAAGGAAGATAATAATTCATATACAATCATTCAAACAGTAATAAAAAATGAAAAAGGCTAAATACACGTGGATGAAGAACAAGTTGAGTCTAATATCCTCTTATTTAAGTAGTTTTTTGTTTTATTTGTACAAGTAGTTTTATTTTACATTTTATTTGTACAACAACAACAACAACAACAACCCAGTGAAATCCCACTAGGTGGGGTCTGGGGAGGGTAAATAGTACGCAGACCTTGCCACTACCTCGTGAAGGTAGAGAGGCTGTTTCCAGGAGACCCTCAGCTCAAGAACCACATCTCAAAGTGACTTACATTTTATTTGTACAAGTAGTTTTATTTTATTTATATGAGTAGTTTTTTAATTTTATTTATGAACAAAAAAAATAAGGCCCTAAATAAGTAGTACAATTATCTATTCTCTTACACTTGTTGTAAATTATACTTAAAAAGACTCAAAGAAAACTAGTTAAAATTACTCTATGTGTTAGGCAAATGTGGCTTTAATTAAAACTACTGAAAAGGGACAAGTATACCTTAAACTATCATTCGTTATACTTTTAAGACACTAGTATCCTTACCGTCTAAGTTTTGGGATGTATATATCCTTTAGACTAATGGAGAAGCACGTGTCTCGATCTTAAAACCTATCCGAAATTTACTTGATTTCTACCCATAACAAAAAGACCACCCAAATAACTTTAAGACACACATCCAATTTCTAACCCAAAATCCCCCAAAATACTTCATACACAAAAGACTTCAATTTCAAACATTTCCAAAACACAAATCTCTTTTTCCCAATAGAAACATGAGGTATCGATCAGTACCAAAAGAAACTCACCATTATGTTTACAGGAGAAGAGGTGTTTTCACGTCAGCTCCATCTATGGGCACAATTACAAATACTTGTCAAAGCAGCAATTTGATTTGAACGACTCTTCTTTCACAGTAAAGCAAACCCATTTCACCATTTGTCCAACACAATTAGAAAAGGGTAGAGAACAGATTTTTTTAGCTTTCAAGTTCGCAACTTTATCAATGAAAAAGAATAACCCTCAATAATGATTACGACAAAAACAACCTTATTGCAAGTAAAGTAAAGCAAAGAATTGAGGGGAAACAAAGAAGTTAATAAGTATCAAATTTCAAGATTTTGTGATGACAGGATCAGAATCCGCACCGGAGTTGAGCTTTGGTGAAGAAGAATTAGTGTTCTTGACAGAGCAAGATACCTTTAAGCTTCAATGTGAGACTGACATTTCAAATAGTCGCCTTATTTTGGGGGGTTTGGGTTGTAAATGGGTGCAGATTTAAGTTATTTGGGTGAGTCTTTTAAATATGTAAGAAATTAAATAAATCCTTTGAGATCCTGTCTTTTCTTTAGTCTAAAGAGTATACACACAAGAAAATTTAGAGTATCCTAAAAGTATAATGAAGGTGTATTTAAATAAGAAAACTTTCAAAAATAGCATATATTAAGCCTTAAATAGGACTTTGTAGCTATAGTTTGCTTAATTACGAATAATAACAAAATATTAGAAGAGTGAGATCTAGGAGAGAGTGTATTATTGCAAATTTTGGAGGAAAAAAATACAAATATGAACTGATTTGTATAAATGAATACATATTAAGAGGAGAGAAGCGATCGCAAGAGAGGGAGGAGAGAGATTGTATTTGCATTGTATTCTGTATTTATTTTGTGTCGTATTCGAAATACAACGGCCTATCTTTGGTTAGAGCCATTGCATAACCTATCTTTACAATAAAATGGTGCATACCGTTCAACTCCAAATGGTAAGTACTCCTGTTTCCAGTAGTTATAAATGCTTTATATTACGAGTTTTAAATATACTCTTAAAAAATCAAACCATATACACATTTAAGAGACAATATTACGAGTTTTAAATCTACTCTTAAAAATTCTTACTTATAACAGTTTAATTACGTGTTATAACATATCAATTAAATTTAACTTTATTTAAAAATCAATTAAAATTTACTTTATTAAATGATTAATCTTTTTATATTTATATATTATTAATTATTTAATTATATTGATTGCAGTTCCTTTTATATAATTAATAGGTGAGAGAAATAATATTAATGAGAGAGAATCAATTTGTAATTATCTATTACACCTTTTAAGCGATTTTTTAACTTATTCAAATAGCTTTTATTTATTAATGACTATTGGGGCATTCAATTTTTTTAAAAAAAATAAACTTATCACCCTATATTTTAACATGTAATTTTATCTCTCTTTAATCTTTTTTTTTTTCGCTTTTCTTGATGTTTTTTTAATTTTTAATTTTGATATTGTTTTTTTTTTAATCTGATTTTTTTAGAATTTTTGAAAATTTTATTTCGTTTTTTATTTTAATTAATCTAAAACTTGATTTTTTGAGAAAAAAAAACCTTTTTACTTAAGTTTTGAACTTGTTTTTGCTGTGTTTTTCAATATCTATAATACTGTTTTGTTGGTGAAATAAGTATATTTAATTCTGAAATTTGTTGATATATATAGATAATATGAGATCATAAAATCTTTAATAAGGATTTCTTAAGTTTTAGCTTAAATATGATAAAAAAAATCACACTTGAATACAAAATATAAATTGAAGAGAGAGGAAAATATTGAACTTGTATTAATTATTGCAATTTAGACTTTTAATTACATGTTTTGATTTTTGGGTGATGTATATTTCTTTTGCTACAATTTCTGACAACAATATATAATATGCATTGTTTTACAACCAGGTTTATTCTTCCCGGATTTATACCCGTTGGATACTAATTTTATACATTTTTATTTTTTGTCTTTGTTCTAAAATTTCAAGTTGGATACCAAGTGTATATAAATTGGATAAAACATTAACTTGTTTTAGATTGTCTAATTTGGTTGAAATATTAGTTACATTTTTTTTTCATTTTCAAGTGGGATATCTGTTGGATACCAATTGAATACAACATTAACTTGTTTAGGTTGTCTAATTTGATTGAAATCTCAACCACATGTTGATTTTTCAATTTTCCAATGGGATATCAATTCAATACTAAATTTATACAAATTGGATACAATATTAACTAGTTTTACGTTGGCTATTTAAGTTGAAATCTCAATTACATATGTTTTTTTTCAATTTTACCACTGGGACGTCAGTTGTATACCAATTTCATACTAAGATTTGACTTAATTTTTTCAGTCAATATCAATCGCATACAAACATTACCTATTTTTTTAGTATACATTTGAAAAACACTAAATACACAAATGATTAACTAGCACACATAATAAATATTCTGATATTATAATTCATTAACTTAAAAGACAAAATAAATCAAAACATGAGTTTGCCACAATAAAACAATCAAATAAAAATAAAAATAAATTATGTCTTTTTTCCAGAAGGGTAATTTGAACATGTCTTCCTATTGTGTTCCTCCCAACGACATGTATTGCACGTAATCTTAGACCTCTTGAATTTCACATCAGCAAACCATTTACAAGTTGTGGTCTCCCTACAGTTCTTTTTGAACTAGGCGACAATAATTTCTACTCCGACACTTTTTGAATTGCATATTTTTCTGTTTCATCATAAATTATTGTGTCAATATTATATCATACAAAAATACAAATAACTTTTATACATATGTTATATCAATATACAAATTTCATACTATTTTTATGCTTACAAAATTCATACAAAAGTAAAAATACATATGTTATTTTAAAACAATTTCATATGTAATTACAGAATACAAAAGTAAAAACACATATGTTATATCAATATACAAATTTCATACAATTCTTATTCACACATTTCTTACCTATTTCATGCCAAAAGTTATCAATTATTCATACTAGGATCATGCCACTAGAATACCAAAATAATTCCAACTTAGAAATATTAATTGTCATTTCTTTAATAAACATTATACCAAATTCATTACATTATTATTCTCAAAATTCATTACAATATAATGCGAAAAAAAACCCCAATCAAACCAAAAATCATACCAAAACATTATCGATTGTCATACATGCTTCGTAGTATAAGTATACAAATTCCAAAGAAAAAATTATCTATTTTTTTAACCAAAAATATACCCAAAAAAAATGCGTCAAACAAATAATGAACAAATTCAATGTTCATACCAA